AAAAAAAAAAAAAAAAAAAGAAAAGAAAAAAAGAAAGGAAATGTTTGTGTTAATGTTATTTGGACAATTTAATGTCTATAGTTTATACTCTGAGTAACTAATGTAAAGATAATAATACAAAATGTATTAACCATTGTTACTCTCCTATTGTCTTGTTTTGAAAATTTTTTTCTTTAAAATAAAATTTTTAAGAAGAGAAAATATGAATATACAAGTCTTTGAGTGAAATATATTCCCTAAGACTAAGACATTCCTAAAAAGGCTCAGGTAGTAGCTACATTGGAGGAAGACACAGAGAGAGGTGATCTGAGACCTGCAGGGCCTCCCAGAGAGGCCCAGGCAGAGCAGTGGTCAGAAGGATCACGCCATTCCCCAGGAAAGCCCTTCCTCCAGGCAGGCCCCAGGGAAGGTATAGCAAGCGTTCCTCACCCCCTTTTCTCCTTAGTAATGTTCCCCCACCACCACCACCACTTGTCACCAGCAAGAGGATGGAGACAGCACCAGCTGACACTCTTGTCCTCACTACTCATATCCCCAGAACCTGGGGACACAAATGCATGGCTCTAAACAGGTCCTACACGCTTCTGGCTCTGACACAAACTCAGAAAGAATCCACCATGGTGCTGTCTCCTGCTGACAAGGGCCTTCTCAAGGCTGCCCCAAAGTTTGCAACTGGATGTGAACTTCCATGATAGTGTGATAACTGACTCTGTGCCTAAAGAGACTGAAGGCTAGAGTCCTGTTCAGTCTGTTGTTTACTTTATCATTTGATTATCATTAAATTAGCAGTCTTCCATTAGGCACGATTTGGGCAGTGGCAATGTCATTGTTAACCAGGACAGTGAGACACTAGGAGAGAGAGATAGTCGCTCACTCAACAGGTAGAGGCTGGGGACGGGAGAGGTCCCACTGTGAGTCCAAGAGCTGGGAGGCACTTGGGTCTGAAGCCTTCAAGCCCAGCCTGCACAAGTTGGGCTTGGGCATTTCTTCCTTCCCTGTGGCTATCATTTAGTCACACACAGTGGCTTTGGAGAAGGAAAGGGGCTGGAGCAACTGAGGCCGAGGGACCGTAGGAGGACTTCCAGGAAGGGCATCCTTGGGCGCCCACTTTTCTGCCCCGAATGGGCAACGCTTCTCTTCCTTCCCTCAAAGGGTGGCCGCTGCGCGGCTTCTGTGTTCTGTTGACTTACATCCAGAGCGCGGTGGGTGTAGGTGCAGGAAGGTGGGTTAAGTAGCCCTTGTCTCGCAGAGGGGCTGCCCCGGGATTAGGGTAGGCAGGCTGGGTAGAGATGCGATGGAGCTGTCGCAATGGAAGAGCACATGAACGTACCCTATCAGGTGAGACCACCGGCTTGGGGAGAGGCGTGCAGTTTCCCCGGGTGGGAGGAATCAGTGTGTCTGGGAGCGAGATTCCCCGCGCAGTAGTCAGCCTTCCAGACTACACCATTGTTGGACGCTGGGCGCCCCCTGTCGACCCCTCTGGCAGCACTCTCCGCGCCAGCCAATGAGCTTGGCGGTACAGGGCGTCTCCCATGAACCCGGGGACATAAATGCGTGGCTCTCTACAGGTCCCACACGCTTCTGGCTCTGACACAGACTCAGAAAGAATCCACCATGGTGCTGTCTCCTGCTGACAAGACCAACGTGAAGACTGCCTGGGGCAAGATTGGTGGCCATGGTGCGGAATATGGCGCGGAGGCCCTGTTCAGGTGAGGACCCTTCTCTCCCTTACTCCGACCAGGGACCAACGCAATCCTAGCGTCTGGGACACCCCAAATTGTCCGCTGCAGCTTCCTTAGCCCCGCTCATCTACTGCTTCTCCCCGCAGGATGTTCCTGAGTTTCCCAACCACTAAGACTTATTTCCATCACTTCGACTTGAGCGCGGGCTCCGCTCAGATCAAGAGCCATGGCAAGAAGGTGTCGGATGCGCTAACCACTGCTGTGGACCATCTGGACGACCTGCCCACTGCTCTGTCTGCTCTGAGCGACCTGCACGCCCACAAGCTGCGTGTGGATCCCGTGAACTTCAAGGTGAGTGCTTGGGCAGCGCCGGGAAGGAACCGTAGGTTTCAAAAGGTGGAGTCAGGCTGTTGTGTTGTCCGCAGCTGCTCACCAGCACTTTCTTCCTCCACAGCTCCTGAGCCACTGCCTGCTCGTGACTCTGTCTGCCCACCACCCAGCAGATTTCACCCCCGCGGTGCATGCCTCCTTGGACAAATTCTTGGCCACTGTGAGCACCGTGCTGACTTCCAAATACCGTTAAGCTGGAGCGACACTGCCCTACCTGCAGGGCTTCCTGTCAGGCCCTTTTCCCTTCCTTGCACCTGCACCTCTTGGTCTTTGAATAAAGTCTGAGTGGGAGGCAACCCGTGGCCTCTGAGTTCTCTGTGTCTGATGAGGGTGGTCACTGTGTCCATACCAAAGGCATAGAGTAAAGGTCTCTTTCCTGTTGAGGAAGGAAAAAAAAAGGCGGGGTGGGGGGAGGAGGAGAAAGTAGAACTTGTGGCTCAAAATTCAATAGATAAGCCCTCCTCCCTGCTGTGCCGGGACAATTGACCCATGTGCGTGAGTTTGCTGCACTAATATTACCCTTGGTTCTCATACTTCCTGCACTTGCACATACACACAGTCTTGCACTGAGCATTGATTCAGCTCTCCAGGGCTCCTCTAGAGGTTCATGGTGAAGAGTTCTCCCTCTTCACACTCTACTGATCTCTCTATAACCCTCTCACATGCCCTTCACAGTCTGGCTGAAACTGGGGGTGACAACAAAATTCTCTGGAGGTGCCACCCCAAGATGATCACTGTTTAGCCCTTAATGTCCTAAGATCAAGATTAAAAGACAGTCTTTAGGCCCAGGCCCACTCAGCTGCTGTGAGCCTAGTTTCCCTGTCCCATGGCCTGGTAAGAGACAGAGCTGGGAAGGCCTTGGGACAAGCCCTCCTCTACTCTGCTTCCTCCATGCAGAGCAGGCCCCAGACCTGGGCTTCAAGAGGGCTTGGGGTTCCTGGGCTTGGCAGACTTTCAGATGCAGCCTTTGGCTGACATCTGCCGCATTCTTTCTTCCTTGAGCTCAAAAGTTGTCCTAGTGGGGCTGGTGAGATGGCTCAGTGGGCTAAAGCACCTACTTAGAACAAGCTTGACAAAGCACAGGGACTGCGGTTCAATCCCCCAGCACCACATGCCAGCTAGTGCTGCCCCCTGGTGGGCTGAGCTGGCCCCACCCACCCACCCACCCACACCCACACAAATAAATAAAATAAAATAAAAAAAAAAGTTGTCCTAGAGGGCCAGCAAGATAACTCAGCGGTCTAAAGCGCCTCCTTAGACAAGCATAGGCTGGCACAGAAGCCCCGCCCTCACGGTAGGCTGAGCCAGCCCCCTACCCCCAAAAAAGTCCTAGAAAAATGCCTCTAGCAGCCCTCTGCCCAGACTACCCAGGGATGCTTTAGCACCACCTGTGGCATAGTTTGAGTTCTGGGTAAGAGGCTGCCTTTGTTAAATTACAAAAAAAAAAAAAAAAAATGGAGCTCAGGGGGCCAGGGAGATGGCTCAGTGGAATAAGTGCTTCCCTGGCAAGCGCAAGGTACTGAGTTCAATCCCTGGTTCTGCCAAAAATAAAATAATAAAATAATAATGGAGTTTAAGGTAGAAACACATCAAATATATACCAGTGGATAAATAGGTAAACAAAATGTGGCATATAAATGGAAGTGAATTTTTTTGTTTGTTGAGACACGATCTCAGTCTAGTTCACCCTGCCCTTGAAGTCACTATGTAGCCCAGGCTAGCCTCAAACTCACAGACATCTTACTCCTTCTGCCTCCTGAGTGCTGAAATAGGAATGAAATTCATAAAGGATGTGGCTGAGCCTTGAAAACATGCTCAGTAGAGACACACCAAAGGCTACATAGTATACTATCACATTTATTTGAAATATCCAGGATATGTAAATCTTTAGGGACAGAAAACAGATTAGTGGTTGCCCATGCCTGGAGAAGTTGGGTAGTTAATAATGGGTATGGAGTTTCTGTTTAGGATGATGAAATAGTTCTGGAACTGGATAATAGTGATGGTTGTACAGCACTGTGAATTTACTGTCGCTGAATGTTACATTGTTTTTAAGACAGGGTCTTGTTATGTAGTGCACTCTGGCCTTGAATTCAGCCTAAGTGCTGGAGTGACAGGCATGTGTCACTATGCCCAGCTGTGTACATTTTTAAAATATTAAAATAATTCATGTGAATTTTACTTGTTTTTTTTTTTTTTAATGAGATGTGGTACCTGGTAAAGTGAGTGCTACATAGGTACTTACTATTATTATTGGAACTCATCCTAGGAACCCATAAACATTCATTATCCTAAAAGGAATATCTGCTGGTAGCCAGGCACCTGACATTTATTATTTATTTAATTCTCACATCGTGTTTTGAGAAATAATTGTTTTTATTTTGTATGAGAAAAGAGAATTAAGGAGGCCAACACTAACTTCCAACGGCAAAATACATAATAAATACTTAAAAAATATGAGGCCTGGGAATTAGAACAACTCCAAGGGTCGCAGGTCGGAGCTGGGTGGATAGGGACCTTCAGAGTCGCGGTCGGGTTCTATGCACCGCAGGAGCGGCGCGAACGTAGCAGGCGCCCCCTGGAGGTCGTACACCTCCCTCCTTATAGTGGCGCGCTCTCATCCCAGGCTCGGAGCTCGGAGCTCTTCCCGCCAGCAAGGATGGCACTGTCTGCTGCGGACCAGGCAATGGTGCGTGCTCTGTGGAAGAAAATGGACACCAACGTCTGTATCTACGCGACCGAGGCCCTGGAGAGGTGCGGACCACGCTGGTTGTCCCGCGACTCCACCGCCAATCTTGCCGCCGCAGGTAGATCACCACCTGCCCTTGCCACACCTACCTCCACCCTTTGCTGCTTCCGCAGAACCTTCCTGGCTTTCCCCTCCACCAAGACCTACTTCCCGAACTGGAACTTGAGCACTGGCTCTGCCCAGGTCAAAGTCCACGGTCAGAAAGTGGCCGACGCGCTGACCCTCGCCGTGAACCAGCTGCACGACCTGCCCCACGTGCTGTCTGCTCTGAGCGACCTGCACGCGCACAAGCTTCGCGTAGACCCCATCAACTTTAAGGTGAGCGGTAGCCTGCTTAGCAGCTGTCCTAGGGCAGGGATTGTCGTTTTCAGCCTCCATGAAGAGGGGGAATGGCTAGGACATAAGTGTGAGAGTGGCAGCAAGTACATGAGAACCGTGAGCTAGGCTAGGTGGGAGGGCTGAAATTACCTCTGCAAGATGTAAGCAGTGGGCCAGCCAGATCGCTCTGCAGACTAAAGCACCTGTTTAGGTAGGCACAGGGACTGGGGTTCGATCCCTGGCGTTGTTGGGATGGTGATTGAGACTGGGTGTGGTGGCATGTGCCTCCTAGCACTTGGGAGGCTGAAAACAAGACAATCACTAGGAGTCTGATCTATGTAGTACAGACCCTGTACTACTTTTTTTTGGCGGAACCGGGGATTGAACTCAGGCCCCTGCAATTGCCAGACAAGCACTTATTCTACTGAGCAATCTCTCCGGCCCCAATGTGTTTTTTACCCTGAGATATCATGGCTTTTCTTGAGGCTTGATCCCAGCCCAGGGTAAAGCACAGCTCTCCTTCCTGCCCCACTCACACTTGCTTCTTGGGAGCTATGGAGTGGGGTAACACTGACCAGTTCCCTTGCTTCAGACACAGCAGGACCTCAGCCAGTCCAATTTGTGTTGCTGAAAGCCTATTCAGGGGATAAGGAAGTCCTAGACAACTCTGTAAACATCAATACATGGAAATAGGACTGGGTTTAGCCAAAATGGAGACAACTGTTCTCGTGGAAAGTTGTCCAGGTGATCCTCCACATGACCTTCTGCCTGCAGTTCCTGGACCACTGTCTACTGGTGACTCTTGCCCGGCACTACCCTGGAGACTTCAGCCCTGCCATGCAGGCATCACTGGACAAGTTTCTGAGCCTTGTGACATCAGTTCTGGTCTCCAAGTACCGCTAAACTGGGTGAGGGTGGTAATAGATCCCCTGTCCCTTCCCTCAAGCTTCCAACATTTGAGTAAAGCGCCCTAAGGCTATGTGCTGCTGGTCTTCTATGATTAGGGTAGGAGGTGCTCCGCCCTTGAGGGAAGGATGTGCATCCTATCTCCTTTCTGGCCCTTTACAAAGTTTCTGTAGGGTTCAGCCAGCCCCATCCCTGGAAGTCTAGGGTATCAGGTCATACTCCTAATTGTAAGCCAGGACACATCTCACCTTTGGACCTGGTTATTTCAAGGTGCAGACCTGTGGTAGCTTTGGCCCCACAGGAGGGTGGCAGGTTGATGGATCTCAGGTGGTAAAGCTACCAGGTCTATCATGGTGCCCAGCCTGGACTCTCCCCACAACTCCTCCAGCCCCACAGCATGGCCCCTCAGCAACTGCAGTCAAGGGCAATGGGCAGGGATGTATGTCACTGGATGGGAGTGTATACAAAACTACTAGGATACAGCCTGAGAAAGCAAGAGGTCACACCTACTTTCAGAGCAGGTTGAACCTGTGTGGAGACTGGTACCAGGGAGGCTTGTGGTGAAAGCCTGGTGCTGCAGTTCCTGAGGCTGAGCGAGGTCACTACCAGTTATGTATTAACAAGGTGGCTAAGGCCCACTTGGATGCTGCTTTCATCTGACATCTCTGCAAGGATGTAAGTGGGACTGCTTTTATCTGCATAAAATGATGATCACTGCAGAAACTTGAGAAAATACTCAATTTACTGGCCCTTTTTGTGTATCCTGGGCCTAAGGAATGAGTCCAGTACATCTATTATTCCTTCAACTCCCACTTGACACATGGTAAGTATGTCCTGTATGCACAAAAAAACTGACTCCATATGCCACAGCACATGCATGATACATGCACACCACACATGGACAGAAGCAGGCTACACCCAGACAGATAACAGTAATGGATTTTAAGTCCTTCCAGGTTCAATGTAGTTTTTCTTTAAAAATGGTATCCTTGGCCAAGTGTAGTGACACACACCTGTAATCTTAGCATTCAGGAGGCTGAGGCAGGATTGCTGTGAATTTTAAGTTACCCTGAGCTGAAATTGAGTTCAAGGCCAGCCTATATTGTATAGTGAAACCTAGTTTCAAAAAAAGGTATCCCTAAGCTGACTGTAGTGGTGCATGCCTGAAATCCCATAGCGAGGCTGAAGCAGGAGGATGGCTGCAAGTTTGAGTCTAGCCAAAGCTACACAGCTCAAGGCCAACCTGAACTATACTATATTGAGACCTTGTCTAAAAAAAAAAAAAAAAAAAAAGCCAAATTGAAAAATAAACCTGCAACCCCCACCCCAAAAGAAATGGCATCCCTAAAATGACATAAGCAAAAAGCACACAGAATAGACTATATGAAAACAAACGGGGCTGGAGAGATGGCTCAGTGGTCTAAAGCACCTACTTGAATCAAGCTTGGCGAAGCACAGGGACCACGGTTCGATCCCCAGCACCACATGCCAGCCAGCAGCTGGGTATAACTGTCCATCCATTGGGAGCAAAAATAGAAAAAGTGGAGAACCACCAATCTCTTTTTTGCATGAGATTGGATGACAATCTCCTGCCATGATTTTTGTGGACCTTTGGGCATGGACTGTTGCAACACCACTAGCTAGCTCTTCTAGGTCTCTAGCTTGCAGACAGCAGACCCTGGAACTTGTCTGGTAATGGCCACAGGCAATCCTTCATAATAAACCTCTATGTATCCTCATGTCCTATAGCTTCAGTTTCTCTTTAAGAACTCTAATATAGATTTGGGATGTGGGAACTGGCATGGTGGCATTTTTGTGTATTACTAGCACTTGGGAGGGTTGCTTGAACCCAAGAGCTGGGGAACAAAGAGACCTCATTTCCAAAAACAAGAGTGTATTTTAATTATAAAACTTGTTTAAAAAACAACAAAAAATACAACACCCCCACCAGGAAAGAGGAGGCCCTTCTGCAGCATTCAACAAATGCTGCTGTCCATGCTAGGTCTGCCTGTCAGTCTGCACCTGCATGACACATGCCAGAGTAGCCCCAGCAAGGTTAGAATACCTACAGCTTTGGTGCTTTTTACCTCTACCTTCCAAGGACAACCCTTAACCCACCTAGGACTTCTCATCAACTCCTGCCTACTGCCCAACCCTGAGAGGACCTCTGTACAAAAAAAAAAAAAAAGTGGTTCTTGGATCCCCGTCCAGCAAGCTAAGTCAACACCATCTACCAAGCAGATCTATTATCTTCTTTTTTTCTCCCCCTGGAACCAGGGATTGAACTCAGACCTTGCACTTTCCAGGCAAGCGCTTATTCTACTGAGCTATTTCCCCAGTCCCCTATCTTGCTTTTCTAAAAACACTACCAAATAGTAAGCGGAAGTTGTCTCCCATCATGAACACAGGATATTCTATGAGAACCCTTCTGATATGCCTCAGCCAAAGCTGCAGAGAAGGTGGTGCTCCTTGGGCGGGAAGACTTTGATGTGCACATTTCTTCACAGGACAGGGATACAGGTTCCAGACCCAGACAATTCTTAACAGTATGCCTTTCAGAGTTATAGGTACTGCTGTAGAAAGAAAGGACTATACTGATGGGAAGGGGCAAATATGGTTTGCCTACAACAAACTGAGACTTGATGTAGGTGGCTGATCTGGGGATGAGGAATAGGAGAAAGGAAAAGCCACTGAAGGGCAAGGTCAAGACTGCACTAGGGCCAGGTGTGGTGGTACAAGTCCGTAATCTTAGCACTCCGAAGCTTGAGACAGAATGATTGCCTTGAGTTTGAGACCTAACTGTATAGTGAGACCCTGTCTCAAGGGGGGGGGGGGGGCCTGGGGAGATGGCTCAGTGGAATAAGCGCTTCCCTGGCAAGCGCAAGGGCCTGAGTTCAGTCCCTGGTCCTGCCAAAAAGAAAAAAAAAGGAGGGGGTGAGATAGCTCGGTGGTCTAAACTGCCTGCTTAGGCAAGCTTAGACAAGTGCCCAGGGACTATGGTTCAATCCCCAGCACCACATGCCACACACCAGCCCTGCCCCTAGGGCAGGCTGAGCAGGGCACAAAAAACAAGAGGGAGAGAGAGGGAGTGAGCGAGGGAGGGACTGCAGTGCGAGGTAGGAGCTCAATTTGACCAGGAATGCTTGAGAAGGGCACAATGGACCCATAGAACTATCCTTCCAGCGAGGAGGGAGAAGCACCTATCCCAGCTCTTCTCCCTGGATGAATTGTAACCCAGAAGGGTACATTAACTTGGGGCTACCACACAAAGCTGGGGATACTTGACACTGCAACCAAAGGGGGCCCTATCCTTAGCTGTCATCCATCAAGTGATACAGGAGCTATCATATGGATTCCTCAGTTCACTGTCCACAACCTGTGCTGGTATACCCTGTCCCTATCAAAACAAAGCAAAACACAACTGTTTGTCCACACAGAAATTTATGTCTAGATAGAAAAGGATCTAAATTATTCACAGTGGTAATGGCTCTAAGGGTGGAGCTATCTGGCTAAGCCCCAAGAGAACCCAGGTTACACACAAACACTTCTGGTCTGGGTTGCCATAGCCACTAGCTAAATGTCCACCCAAGCTCAGCTGCTCCCTCCAGAAGACCAGCAGCAGACCTTTGGGCCTTGGTGCCCATGAGGAAATCTGCACGGATGTGCAGCACAGCAGCAACCCCAGAAAACCCCACTCAGATGTCCCTTCCCAACCACCTTTTCTCAGAGACAGCTGACAAGGTAAGACCTGTGTTGGGGGCAAGCAGAGAAGCCTACCCATCTACACATCCTTCTGCAAGAGATAGGTAACTTGTTTTATCAACGTCACCAACAGAAGCTCCCTCCAAAACGAACACTAAAATTGCTACAACACCCTAGGAAAGCAAGAAGGAGTTGGGTGTAGTGGTCCATGCCCATGATACCAACACTTGAGGAAGCTGAGGCAGGAGGATCACTTCGAGTTTGTGGCCAACCTGAACTACACAGCATGACCCTATCTCAACAAACAAAACAAAAAATTAAAGTAAAAGGAAAGAAGCTCCCCATATCTACAAGTTAGCTTCATTTTGGTCCTAAAGTGACTGAGAATAGCTGAACTGGTAATACAAGCAGCCTGCCCTTGGGATGAACCATAGCCCGATGGCACCCTAGGATATGACCCAAAGCTACCATCACTCCCTGAAGACCTCTTAGCTACTGTGTGGGGAGCTTGCACTGGTCTTATTTTGCCCCTAATCATTTTAAAAGAGGAACTGCAGTACAGCTAGTCTAAGCTGGGAACTGATTAAACAGAAGAAAGACTGGGAAGATGGCCATCTCCCTCCTCCCCAAGGAAGCCTGCTCTATAATTTATACTGAGGGGTAGAGATGAACTAGCTTACATGGGATGTACACCAGGTGGGCAGACAACCCCATGTACCTGGCCCCATCAGGATTGTGTGTGTAGAGGGTCCTGGCATGTGTCAGATGCCAAAAGTCAAAATGGCTGGAAAGTTAAGTAAGTTTTCTGAGGTGTTGGCAGCACCAGTCCTTGTCTCCACTGGTGAAGAGTCCTGGCAAAGAGCCACTGGAGCAGAGGACAGCAGAGACCCCACTTCTGCTGTCAGAAGACAGTCTGCCAGGTTTATTTATTCCTATGCAACATAACCCCAGAACACAGGAGCAACTCTGCTCAGCTCTAGAAACTCATAGCTAGCTCCAAACAAAAGAAATTTAAACTACAAAAGATGAGTTGTATTCAGGAAATATAAAGGGTAATTTTAGGCTATGTTGAACATCTCTCAGACTATTTACAATGCCAGGAAAAGGGCTCAGATCTCGCCGGCCTCCTTCTCCTCTGACTTCCTTGAAGCAGCCTTCCCATTGGAGCTCTCCAGCCTCCAGTCGGTGGACCCTCGCTCGCTGCGCCCGTACTCCCAGGACTCCTCTCTCGACATGCGCTCTCTGGAGAACCTGAGAAAGGGGAACCAGAGGCTCAGTGGAGACTACCATCCCACTGCTGGCTAGCTGCTCAGGAAGCAACAATGTGAACCCTCAACATGACCAGGAAAGATCATGCCCCACCACACCCAGGCAGCCTGCCATCTCATTCTCAACCCACTACGCGGGAATATCAGGAAAACATTAAAAAGTGATGTTTGCAAAGACTTTTAATAAGAAAAGCTTGTACTAGAACATAAACAGCAAAGGAGAATACAACAAAATTGTACACATGGCATATGATCCACTATGTAAAAATACAAAGGGAAAAGCCCAAAGAGGTAAGCAAGACCTGGTCAGGACATAAATCTTGGCCGCTCTGTGCATCAAGTGACTGCAGCTAGGGCCCCCCAGCACCACCTAGAGGTGCTGGAGAGCTCCTTCACAGCCTTCTCCAATTTCAAGCCAAGTCTTGCTTACCACACCCCAAAATCCTAACACTCTGCAAGGATGACAGACTAGGCTCCCCTCCAAGCCCAGCTCTGTCCCTACCAGATGCAGCCAAAGATGTAGGCTGACAGACCCCCAGAAGGCCCTGGGAACACAAAGAAAAAGGGTCACTCCTGGCAGCAACTACCGCAGAGTCATAGTAGTTACTTGTATTTTGCACTCCGGTCCCTGGAAGGCCGGCGGTGTCCCCGGCTGTGGCTCCGGGAACGGCTGCGGTGGCGACGATGTCTGTCTCTGTCTCGGGAACGGGAACGGGAAGACTTCCGTCTCTCTCGAGAGGTAGATCTTGATCGCCTACGACGACGATCCCGAGAGCGTGACCTGGAAAAACCAAAAAGCTGTGGGCACAAACTATAGGAGACAAACACAAGGCCCACGCCAGTATTCTGCCTCTCCCAGCAGTTCTGTCAAGTTCCTTTTTGCCCCCTACAATTTTTTTTTTTTTTTTTTTTAATTTTTAGGGAAGGATCTACAGGGTGTTCAGGGTCTCACTACTACATCGAACTCATACTGATTCGGTTTACAGCCTCCCAAGTGCTGGGATTATAGGCGCATGCTACCATGCCAGGCCCGGGGATTGAACCCCTGGCCCCTGTGCCTGTCTTGCTGGCACTTTAATCCGCTGAGCTATTTAGCCGGCCCTACAAATTTACAATTTATGCTTAAACTATTCTCATGAGCTAATGTGATGGCCAGAATCTTCCTATGAATGCTGCCTACAGAGTCTGGCACACTTGGCATTCCTGGCTGGCCTGCAAGCCATCCATCTCAGTGAGGAGTCCTTCTCCTACACTAAGCTCCAAACAACACCTGGGTCCTATGACCTTCACAATCCAGCCTAGATTACCAGATAAGGTTGTTCAGCTATGAACTTTAAGTATTTATTATGAAACAAAGAAAAAGTCTTTTGGGGCCAGTGATATAGCTCAAAGGAACAGAACCTGCCTGGAAAAAGGCTTTTGACTAAGAACTCTAATGGATCTGGAAACCTACCTCCTGCGCTCTCTGGTTCTTGATCCAGACCTAAAAAAGAAAAGGACCTGTGTTATTTTCTGGTCTGCAGCAGAAGTTTCACACCTGTTCTGTGGCTGACTCACTCAAAGCATCTGACCTCAAGGGGAAGAATACAGCTGTGTAAGCTTATGGGCTTTGGAACTCTATCTGCACATGTTGAGGGTGAGCTGTGCTGTACCCAACCCAACAACAGACTAACAAATAGTGGACTGTTATGGTTTATAGCTAGATGTCCCCCTAAAGACTCACATGCTCCCATGTAGGGTTCAGGGGAGGTGACTGGATCAGGGGGTCACGAGACACTAGTGAATAATTTCACTGATGACTTTACAGCTAAATGTGTTGGGAGGTAAAGTCTGCTCTGAGGAGACAGGTCACTGGGAGCGTGACTTGTACAGGTGTATCATCTTCCCTATGCCCTTGATTCTTCATTCTGCTACCTGCCATCATACTATAAGCTCTTTCTCCTCTGCTACCCTGCCTTGGAGCCAGCTGATTATAGATAAAACTTAGCCAAAATAAACTTTTCCTTCTTAAAGTTGCAGGTGTCGGGTACTGTGTCTGAGCAGCAAAGTAACTGGTCATTAAGACATGGAAACTAGCATACAAGTGGAGTTAAAGAACAAAAGCAGGGCTGGGTGGGACTTCATATCCACAAAGTTCTAGACATAGGCTTCCTGGCAGGCAAGAGTTAAATGGGCTCCTGTTTTACACATCAGCAAGTAGAAACATGCATGTCACACTGTCTCACGTGACATACATTTTAGGTCCACTGTGTAGTCATTATAGACAAGAAATGTTACAGATGCCTATAAATGCAGAAGCCTAAATAACAATGCACAGATAGGCCCAACCATAGCAGTGGCCACTCAAATCTCTTGACAATCAGAGTATATTATAATTAAAACAAGAAGGAAAAACCAAAGCAAGCACACACCCTTTCTGAATGATACACTAAGGAATTCCTTCAGAAAAGCAGTTTTTTTTTAAA